CGTAGTTAGAGTAAGTGAAGTCCCGTGGTCAGGATCCTGCGCCTGATGTGTGCCTCACCATCTCTCCCAGCTAACTCATCCCATCCGCCTGATCCTGGAATACACAAACTCCAGCTATGAAGAGAAGAGATACACCATGGGGGACGGTAATGGCACTCTCCTGCCCAGACTCCAGTGCAGTGCTGCCCATTGGCACCTAGCAACCCGTGCCCTGGCTACTTGTTGCTCACGTGGGCAACTCTCCTGCCTGGAGCCAACTCCTTCCAGAAACCTCAATGAGGGTGAAGTTTGGCTTTAAGACACAGGTTGCTGCAGTGGAGTTCTGGGTCCCTCTCAGTGAGGGCTGGGCTTCCCATTAGAGCTTGTGAAAATGTTTTGAGAGCCTCAGTCATATAGGAGCCTCAGCCCTGAATGCTGATCTCCCCTCCAAGCTCCAAACCATGAAAAGTGAGACTGCAGACTCAGGATCAGGTCCACTGCTAGGAGGTCTTGTCCCTGATTGCTTGGGGGCCAGGTCCCAGGGGAGAAGCGGGGATGCCTGGGACTTTGTATTCACTTCATGTTTTCAACCACAGCTCCGGACTATGACAGAAGCCAGTGGCTGAATGAGAAATTCAAGCTGGGCCTGGACTTTCCCAATGTAGGTCAGGGATCAGGGGGTGGGGTTGGTTAAAAGTAGTTTTCCATATCTCATCTCAGCATAAAATTTCTGGAATCAGAACTCCTGTTCCACTATTCTCATTCCTGGCTGTCTACCCTGTTTTCCTACCCACTTCATTCACTTATTCTACTGTATATTTACATAGGCTCCTCCAGACAACACACAGAGGGCCAGGTCTCATGTATGCCCTAACTCAGGGATGGGATCCTGGGACCTAGAATCCCAACTGACCTTTCCTGCTTGTTCATGCAGCTGCCCTACCTAATTGATGGGACTCACAAGCTCACCCAGAGCAACGCCATCCTGCGCTACATTGCCCGCAAGCACAACCTGTGTGAGTAGACCTGGCTTTAGGGTGTGGGAATGGGTACTGTTCATCTTGCTAAAGTGGCCTGGAGAGGGATATTGAGACTGAGTCTCTTTGGTGGGCTTCAGGTGCAGAGACAGAAGAGGAAAGGATTCGTGTGGACATTTTGGAGAACCAGCTTATGGACACCCGCATGCAGCTCATCATGCTCTGCTATGACCCTGATTTTGTGAGTCCCCCATGGGTCTGGAGGAGACAGAGTTTGGAACACAAGTTAACCTCTTGTGTTCACCTCTACCCTGGCTTTATATGACATTTGCATTCTGTAAATGTGTACTGATTGTGCAAGGTTTCCTATCCTACCATTGAAGTCACCTTTATAAACCCAATCTGTGGTCCACTAAACACTATGAATCACTCCCTAACAGTTTTGTGATAGATTCCATTCCCAGAGTGTGTGTTCCATCCTTGATATGAGTGCAGAATTTACAATGCCTTTTGTCTTTCTGTCCTTTAACATGTGAGATCCCTTGTCTGTCATAGATTTACACACTGTAAGGCTGCTTTTGGAATACAGGCAGCCTAACCTGAGAAAAAGAAGTGCAGCAGAAAGAATTAGAAGCAGCCTGGTCTTCAGATCTATGCCAACCTGTTTCCCCAGGGCTGTGTCCTGGACACCAGCATGATTAGAATATTGTCCTAGTAGGCAGCTTAGGATCATCCAGAAGACATCTGTCCCTCTCTTGCCCCTTTTTACCACATTCCTTATTGTGCATTGAAATCAGGGCCGTGTAAAGAAATGCCTCCATTCATAAATGCTCCTGTTTGCAAATAATTCAGTTTGCAAGCAAAAGCATTTTGTAAAACTTTGCTACTGTTCGCATCAGGTGACAAACATGACCTCAGCCATATTCCACAAATCGTAAAACAAATTAATTTCATAAACCAAGATATCACTGTACTCATTAGACAAATGCTATGGAACTACATCCTAGCCCTTTCCATTTCTTTTTTGTAAATTTTGAGGCAGAATCCTGCTCAGTAGCTCAGCCTGTCCTTCAGCTGCAATCTTCCCTCACCTCCCACATAGCTCCGATGATAACCATATGCCACCAGGCCCCGCCTCCCTCCATTCAACATCAGGTGCTCCTCAGCCTTGTATATAGAGTGCTGCAAATGTCCACTCTATTCTTGTGCCCTCTCATGAGGTTGGACTTTGTCTTGTCTCTTTGGATCGTTTTCTATTTGCTTCTTTGGCTCCACTGACATGAGTCTAAAGCCTGCCAGGTGCTCAGACACTCCTGGGTGGGACTCACAGAACCTGGTTCAGACAGCAGTGGTGACAGATTCAGGGACAGAGTTTATTCCTGTGTGATTCCCATCACTTCTGACAGGTGGGTCTCCGGCCAAGTGGGGTCTGATAAACAGTGATGTTCTCACTGGAGGCCATGACACTGCCGGAGACCCAGCCTCAGGGAAGACAGACGGCTGCTCACCCCTGGCCAGCAAGGGCTCTGCAGAGCACTGCACGTGCGGTCTCTCAGACACACAAGGAGCCTGTGTCTGAGGGTGGTGACTCCTGATTTCTGCCTCAGGAGAAAAAGAAGCCAGAGTTCTTGGAGGGCCTCCCTGACAAGATGAAGCTCTTCTCGCAGTTCCTGGGGAAGCAGCCCTGGTTTGCAGGGAACAAGGTAAAAGGCAGAGAGCGGGGGCCGAGAAGGTGTCATTCCTCCCACGTTATGAGCTTGCAGCCCACTCATCACTGGCTCTCTGCAGATCACCTTTGTGGATTTCGTGGCCTATGATGTCCTTGACCAGCACCGCATATTTGAACCCAAGTGCCTGGAGGCGTTCCCTAACCTGAAAAACTTCATGTCCCGCTTTGAGGTGACACTCAGGACCCCTCTTACTCTTGTGTGTCCTGTTCTCCTTGCCCTTTTCCCCGGATTCCTTTCTACAGCTGCATCTGAGCTGAAGAGTTACTAACACAGAGGGCACTGAGCAATGGCTTTCTATGCCAGAGCCTATGCCCAGCATCTTACATCCATTACGTCAAAGTAATCATTGCAACAACCTGCGGTGCTGATAGAACTCCCAGCCCACTGCACAGACCAGGGACCTGAAACTAGAGAAGTCATTTCTTCAAGGCTCCAGCACCAACAGAGGCTCTGTGGGCGTCTTGTCAGGCCCGGGATTCTCAGGGAACAGTGGCTGCCCCTCTCTTGTGCCCCCCACAAGAGGCCCATGTCCTTGTGCAGCCTGGGTTTCCAGCCCAGCCCCCGTGTAGGAGGGACGGTGTGTGCAGAGCGTGGGAGCAGCTTGCATTGGGAGGACTGGGACAAGGCGGGTGGGGGGAACCAAGACGGAGACTACTGATGCCTGAGCAGCTGGGCACGTTGCTCAGTCCCATCCCCAGTGAGGGCAGCGCTGAAGCCCTGTGGCTGTAGTTGGTGCTGGACTGAGTATACACATGGGCAGCCCCGTTGGGTGATTTTTATCTTGCATTGTTCTATGTTAAGTGTCCTGTTCCCACCCTTTTATCCTTTTTCTTCTTATTGTTCACTATCTCAAGTGTTCTTTCTGTAAAATGGGGTCTTACTCTCATTTTCACTGCTTGTCCTGACACCTTCCCCTACTTAAGCTTGATGTGAACCCAGTGGTATGGGTAGAAAAGACCCTCTCCCCAGCCCATCCACAGCCTGAGTTTAAGAGACAAGGGCAGGCATTCCAGACGTGAGGTGCACGTGGTCCATTGTGCATGCTGTGGAGCCCGGCTTACCTGTTACCTCCCAGCTATTCTGGTCCTGCACAATCCTCCTATTGTCACCAAGGAAATCTGTTTTATTACAGACTTGGGAATCTGAGTCATTATTACAGTGGGTTCCTAGGCTTGCAATGTGCTAGTTCCTATCATCTCTGGTTCTCATCCGGGCTGAGTGGCTTTGGGGACTGTGATTGTGTAAGAGCCACCCCCAGTGTGAGGGGAAGGTGGGCAGGGACACAGCTGAGTGCTGGACCCTGAGCTTCAGTCCTGCTGGGCCTGGCTTGGGCGGAGCAGGCACCTCTGCATTTCTGTGAATCCTTTGCAGTTAGTTAGGAACTCACTCTGCTAGTAGGAAGGCACATAATACAACCACGGTCACATGGCTCTGTCCCAGTAGCAGGCTGGAGTGCTTACCTCAGCAGCACCTGTACCAATACCAGGCTGGAGATAGGGTAGGTGGGGCAAGTTCGTGCTATGTTATTGACAATAGAAGAAATCTGGACTTTTTGGTCTCAGAAGATTGATTGGAACCTTGCCCAGCCTTTCTCTTGTGTCCTCCACTTCTGATCCCCTTCACCCAGAAATCCCTGATTCACTGGGTGGGACTGGGCTCTCCTCTCACTGGTACTCAATTATTCTTCAACATTTAGCCATGCTGGGTCCCTCCTCTTGTTGCAAATACAGGCAGGAATGAACTTCCTTGTGTGCAAGGAGAATGTGTGCGCAGAGAAGGAAAGAGAGGGCGTCCTCTGCACAGAGCAGAAGGGGAGTGAGTGCAGCAGAGAGAGTAGAGAGCTGGAGAGACAGAGACAGATCCAACCCCGTCTTACTTTTTTGTTTTGTTTTGTTTTCCGGTACCAGGAATTGAACTCACGACCTTGCGCTTGCCAGGCAGGCGCTGTGCTGCTGAGCTAAATCCCCAGCCCTGCCCTGTCCTACTTAATAGCTGGGCAAACGTGAGGAATTCCTTAACCTCCCTGTGCCACGTTCCCTGTGGATAAAAGGTGATGTTAGGGCTGATCCTGCAGGGGTGTTGAATGGATTTTCTCATACTGTATTATAATTTCTAGTGACTTTAAAGCACCTTGCTCAGGTCTCAACCTCCCCATAGTGACAGGAACTTGAGGAGTTCACTCACCAGAGCCGGGCCCTCAGCAGACTGTTGTGCTCCAGCCCTTGAGCCCACGTGGAAAGCTGTTCCTGGTGTGGGGCTGCTGGAGTTCAGCGGGCAGCAGTCCTGAGCTGTGCCTTCTCTTTCCCACGCCCAGGGCCTGGAGGAGATCTCTGGCTACACGAAGTCCAACCGCTTCCTTCCAAAACCTCTGTTTTCAAAGATGGCCCACTGGGGCAACAAGTAGGAGCCTGCAATGGCGGGATGAGAGGAGGATGGACCGTGGCCCTGTCTCTGCCCTGCAGCACAGCCTACTCCTGAATCCACGCCTCGCTTTCTCATTCCTCTGCCCTTGCTACTCCCTTGTCCTCTGCAAGGCCTTGTCAGCTCCCTTTTCCTACCCAGCCCTTCCCCCGGTCTGGGCTCTTAAGTGTCTCCTCCCACTTTTCATTATGGAAGTCCCCGTGTCCCTTCCTTGTGCCTGATGTAAAGTAGCCAGACAGCCCTTACTTCTGATGTGAGGAGGCTGCCTGACTCCGTGTTCCACCTGCCTGGTGTGGATCTTCGTGTGCAGGCCTTGGTCCATATTGTTGTGTTGGGTGCCCCAGCTGTGTGTGATCCTCAATAAAGCTTGAAAAATAATTACTTGGATTTTTTTCTTATTCCCATTGGCTCCTCTGCCTGACCGACTGGCACTGCTACTTTCAAGAATTGTCCCCTGACTTGGGTAATAGTGGGTTCACAGGGTAAGTAGGATTTTGAGACTTTTTGGTTCCAATTCTGATATCCACAGAGCAGAAAAGCCCAGGAGGCTCTGTAGAGAATAAAGGGCCCCTGTTCTGGGCCTGCACCTCTCATTTCCTTCTGTAGCATTCCCGAGCCAGTGTGGTGAGGCAGGGCTGCATGTCTTAGTCAGTAGGGCCAAGGGTGAGGAGAGTCCCCATCTGTCACAGAGCGCACTGATGCAGCCTCTGAGCTCCCACCTCACCTGCAGGGCATGTGGTTGTCTGACTTAACCCAGACGGGATGAGCTCTGCCTGCCCTCCACCCCTGGGGAGTTAATACTTTTATGAATATTTGATAAGATGGGTTCACACCATGTAGTACTAGGAGTGCCACATCCCTAAATATTTTTCTTTTACTGCATATCAACTTGTGTTGGGAGCAGCAATGTAAAAATATGTACCTGTTATCTGTTGAAATTTATAGGGATTTAGTTATTAGGATATCCCTGGTTGTTAGGAAAACTGTAGTTCCATTTTATGTTGTAAGGTGTTTGATATTCAGATAGATAGTAATGTTAAACTTACTGCTTCCATTACAGTGTAATGTTATTGAGCTTCTCTTCTGGATGTTTAACAACTGTGATTTGGAGACCAAAAATTAGAATGATAATTGGGATAGAGGAGAGCCGATATTTTGGCCCTAGCCCTTCAAGCTCAGTGTGATCCCAGGACAGAAGAGAACCTCTGTTATGGCATCCTGTAACTCAGTTGAATCCCTGATTTTTCTGACCAAGGAGATTATGGCACCACAGATGAAAGTGAGTCAACAATGTGTAGTGCGGTTAAGGAGAGCCACTTGGAGAGATAAAGTGTTTCAAGCTTTCACCGAAAGGAACTTGGTCAAGCAATGGCCATGACTCCTCCAGATGGCTGACACTGGAAGTGGATCTGGAGGTGCTGTGCATGCTTCCAAAGCAACCTGGAGGAGACTTCTCTGACCTTAATGGATAGGAAAAAAAGATTAATATGAGTCTCACTGTAACTTAGTCTTAAACAGCCAGCGGAAATGGGTAACCACAGATGTATAAATAAACATTAGTAAGATGTTAGCTGTAAAGGGTTCAAATCACCAACAACTTTGGACCATTGCCGGCTAGACTGGCAACTGACCACTTTTATGGATATTTGGACTGTATTCTCCAAGCATAGCTTTTCCAGCTTCAGCTAATACTCATCATTTGCAAAACAAAGAAGAGAGATATTTTAGGAGAGGCTGAAATTGGAAAGTAATTACGTGTGCAGGAGAAAGCCAGCCTGAGAACACGGAAGCTCTTCGAAGTAAACAAGCTGTTACAGCTTGTTAACTGATTGGTGGGCAGAGAGGCTGGAATTAACCAACCTCTCAAGGGTATAAAATAAATGCTCTACTGTTCTTTGGCAGTTCTGCTTCTCTGCTCAGGAGAGAGAGGTCCTCCACCTGATCCCAGCTTTTTATCTCTTGTGTATTTTTTCCTCATTTTCACTGCCGTTTCTTCCCGGGGTACAGCAAGAACCCAATGAATCCTTACAAACTTGCTCTAAATTCTTTTTTTTCCCTTTAATTTTTAAACCCATTTCATTTCAAAGTTCCACCCACCAGACTTCTGCTATAAAGGACAGTGTCCTGGTAGGTCAGTGTCCTTCTGAAGGAAACATGATAGGTCCCAGGGAAGCGGATGATTTCACGGTCATTTGAGCCATCGTCTCATACCCAGAGCACAAGTGAATCAGGGGCTAGAACCAGGCCAGAATCCAGAGACCTGGACATCTGTCATACTCTGGATCCAGCCAGGCCAAGCTGTACTCCTGTATAGAGTTGTCCACAGTCTACTCTGGATACCCTCCGGCCTTGCCTTGGAAGCATGAGATGCATCTGGTCCTTTGGCACCCCAATCTTCCACCTTAGCTCATACTCTAGCTATGCTCACTGCAATCACAGCCCCTGGGCTGGTCAGCAGCATTGTCTTGCTCTATTGTAGCACACTGTTGTGGGAATAATGCATACCCTGTCCCCACTGTGTTTTGTTATTGGATTTGGATTTGTTACTAGAGTTCTAGGAGAAAACCCCTGTTTGGGACATTCCAACACCCAAAACACCAAATCAAAAAGATGAGCCATGGTGGGGGGCAGGAAGGAGCTTTAATCAGTGTGGCTTTGCCACTGGGAAGAACAGATAAAGAGGTCCAAGGTCTGCTTTGTAAAGAACAGACAGAAATTTTGAAGTGTTCTAGAAAAGAAGACCAAAGGCAAGGTTAGAATTTGCAGGGCTGGGGGTTTGCATAGCTGGGTGAGTAATACCGGTCAAGCAATGTTCTGGTTGATTATTATCTCAGACTGGTTCTTCAGGTAGCTCTGATCAATTCCTTATGACCAAGGGGCTAATCTGGTTCCTATGAGATGACTGTTCCTCCTTAGGTCAGGGTTGGAGGTGAGCCTCCATTCAGTGGTGGAATCATTCTTGCTCCCAAATTCCTGAAGGAGGGGGTGCTCTCATCATGGAGTGTTTGGTCTGGGAGGCTGTGCTTCTGCTGGATTCCAAAGTGACTGCAAGATTAGAATAATGACTGCAGATTTCCTAGTGTTGCCCCAAGTTATCTGAAAGAGGACCTTATAAAGTCTGGACCCTGAATGTACCTGCAAATGTTACCATAATTTCCTCTTATCTCGATGTCCTCATTCACGGAAGGGTGGTGGGTGAAATAGTTTATGCAAATTAAGGCTAATAAACCCTATATTAACGGTTTTCAGACAGACACCCCTTGAAGTCACTAATCTGCCTATGGGGAAGGCTGAGCAAGAAAATGACACAAAAAACTTGACAGCAGGAACAGACGTAGATATGAAATCAAGGCAGAGGTGTCA